TTGTTTGTTTGTTTGTTTGTTTGTTTGTTTGTTTGTTTGTTTGTTTGTTTGTTTGTTTGTTTGTTTGTTTGTTTGTTTGTTTGTTTGTTTGTTTGTTTGTTTGTTTGTTTGTTTGTTTGTTTGTTTGTTTGTTTGTTTGTTTGTTTGTTTGTTTGTTTGTTTGTTTGTTTGTTTGTTTGTTTGTTTGTTTGTTTGTTTGTTTGTTTGTTTGTTTGTTTGTTTGTTTGTTTGTTTGTTTGTTTGTTTGTTTGTTTGTTTGTTTGTTTGTTTGTTTGTTTGTTTGTTTGTTTGTTTGTTTGTTTGTTCGCTCGCTCGCTCGCTCGTTAATGTCCGGTTGGCAAAATACGCAATAAGGCTTACGCAATAATAAAAAAATGCCACGATTACGCAATACGCAATTTTGACCCTGATTCATAAGTGCTTGAAATGTAGAAGGTGCATTGATGAGTACAAAATAACATCACTACATACTAAGAATATTAGTTTCCTTCTGATAGGAATGGACATATTATTGTAGATAATAATAAGTGGGCCTATTATTGTAGATAATAATAAATAGGCTTGTACTATAAATAGAAAGGGTAGGGGAGGCAAAGAAAGTAGGCAAATATTCAGTTGAATTTGGCGGGCTTGGAGATTGGGCATCTCGGGCTTGGAGATTGGGCATCTTGAATGGTCCATTGTATCGTTACCTATTTTCAGTTCTTCTCTACTCAATAAACTCTTCGATCTGTTCTTAGTTTGGATTTCTTAGGATTGTTACTGTTCTGAATTGAATTCTACCAGTGTTCTATCACCTTCACCCGTGTTCTATCACCTTCACCCGTTTCTGATGATACCCTGACTTGATATCTGTTAAGACCTGAGGCTCCATCCTAAAAGGTCAACCTGATAGGAGGAGTAGCCCAAAGCCTTATATAGTGTTTAATTGTTTTATAGTTTTCCGGTGTGGGACAAATGCTTTAACACGCCCCCTCAGCCCGAACCGGGCTGGACAATATCGGGGTGTATAAACGGGCCAAACAAACCCTTAACAAGCTACTAATCATGGGTGCTAAACAAGCCGTCAAACCACAACCGGAATTGGTTCTGATACCATGTTGATACCATGTTAAGACTTGTGGCTCCATCCTAAAAGGTCAACCTGATAGGAGGAGTAGCCCAAAGCCTTAAATAGTGTTTAATTGTTTTATAGCTTTCCTGTGTAGGACAAATGCTTTGACAATATCCAATTTTGAGAAGATCTGAGCCTGACCCAATTCATTCAATAACTCTTCAATCACGGGTATAAGAAATTTATCAGGGTTGGTGATCTTATTCAATGCTCTATAATTTCCGCAAAATCTCCACCCTCCTTCCTTCTTCTTGACCAAGATAACAGGACTGCTGTTAGGTCTAATGATCCCGGTTCCCAGTAAATCATGCACTATCTTCTCAATCTCATTTTTCTGATAGTGAGGATGTTGATAGAGCCTTATGTTGGGAATGATGGCTCCCTCATGGATGTTTATGGCATGATCACACTCTCTTAAAGGAGGTAGCCCTTGGAGTGTTTGAAATACGGAAGGAAACTCGTTCAAAATCTCATTCCATTTCTGGACAAGTTGATTATTCCTCTCCAAGTTCTCCTGAGATTTTTTCCAGTGAAGGACATAACCCTCTTCTTGATTCTGCATGTCTTCACCAATGATTTCCATGAGGTTTGGGTCCTATTCAAACTAGGATCTCCTTGAATTCCCCTTTCAATCTCTCCTTCCCTCCATTTGATTGTTAATCGGCTGAAATTTATTTCCAAATTTCCTAAACCTGCTAACCATTCAATTCCCAAAACAACATCAGTTCCTCCCAACTCCAACAAATAAAATCCTGGGTTATCATCAGTTCCTGCACCCAAATCTGCAGCCCTTTACAGATTCCTTGGTTTGTTGTGATGTCTCCTTTACCCATTTCCACCTGGAATCCATTGGGTCTAGTATATGGCAGATTCAATCCTTCTCCCAAATTTTGAGATATGAAATTATTAGAGGCTCCGGAATGAATGAGGATTACAATGGTTCGCTTCTCTCTTGATCATTCAATGGATTCACTTCTTTTTCTGATTTAGATTCTTCTGCTTCTGATTTCAGTAAATCATCTTTTTCATCTTCCAATGCTTCTACTAGTACCAACTGGTTATGTTTCATCTTGCAAATATGCTCTTTGTTCCATTTCTCCACATTTGAAACAAAGGCCTTTTCTACTCCTGTGCTACAACTCAGATTGAGTCAATCTTTGTCCTCCTTTTCAAACCATTTATCTCCTCTTTACTTTTGACATTTATTACCCCCTTCACATATTCCTTGACACATTGCACGGTATTCAGCCTCAACACTACTTCTAGCCACCACAAACTGCTTCTTACTATGCCAAGTGACCAGATTACCCCACACAAATGTGCAATAACCTGTGGTGGACCTTACATCTACACAAGATCCTCCCCAGCCAGCATCTCTGTAAATGGTTATTCCCCTTTCATTGGATTTTTTGAAGTAGAGCCCATATCCTGGTTTTGGTATGGTTACCCCCCTTTCATTGGAATCTGTAATACTGCTTCCATATGGCGAATTGTGGGAGTGTTCATGAATCTGCTCACCATACCAACAGTAAACCTGAAATCGGGTCTTACCTGTGCAAGGTAGATTAACTTCCCCACTAGTCTTTGATATCTTCCCTTGTCTACTAGCTCATCTTTGGTTCCTGTTCGAAATTTGATTCGTGGTTCTATTGGCACACTTGCTAGTTTGCAACCCCATAACCCAATCATGAAATATTTAAGTTGGCCAAGATCTTTTATTTCGAATTGTCTTCACAAGATGAGTTTTACATCTTTAATCGACTAGTCTCCCATTATAATGATATCATCCACATAGACAATCATTATTGCAACTTGTCCATCACGGGAGTGATTTGTGAACATTGTGTGATCGGTTTTCCCTTGAATGAATCTGTATCGTTTGACCACTTGTGTCAGCTTTTCAAACCATGCTCGTGGCGTCTGCTTTAGACCGTATAGGGATTTTGATACACTCCTTGGTCGGACCTACCAACGTCGCAGATAATTAAAATAATTTGTATCCATGTTTTAATTCGTGTGTGTTAGTTAAAATAATTAGTATTGTTGTTTTAATTCGTGTGTGTTAGTTTTTTAATCATGGGTTAGTTGTTGGTTCTTCAAAACAAGTGCTTCCTGCACATACTTGCACATACTAGCAGTTTAAGATCATGGATCCACTTTCCTAGTTTTTAGGAGTGGTTGTAACTTCCTGTCTCTATTTAAAGAGAAGGATGATTTGAATAAAAAGCTATCAGAAAATTCCCCAATTAGTTTAGCCAGGGAGTTTGGAGAACTCAACAACATCTCCTACTGCACTCTTAGATATATGCATTGTTCTTCTTCTTCCAACTAATAATCTGCCCCCTCTCAACCCGTCCTGTGATGCGATCCCGAACCCGGGCCTGTAACAGATTTTCTAAGTCCGCACACCATTCCTTCGTTTGCTAAAGACTGCAGTCCGATGGAACATCCATGTAAACTTCTTCTCCTAGTTCCTCATTTAAGAATGCATTCTTCACATTGAGTCGATGCAACAGCCAGTCAAGGTTTACCGCAAGGGGGAGTAATACCCGGATGGAATTTAGTTTTGCAACAGGTGCAAAAGTTTCTGAGTAGTGGATCTTGTAGCACCCGAATGAAATTTAGTTTTGCAACAGGTGCAAAAGTTTCTGAGTAGTGGATCCCGTAGCACTGATGTAAAGCCTTTAGCGACCAACCTTGTTTTAAATGGACTTACACTTCCATCAGAGTTGTATTTGACAGCTTACACCCATTTACACCCCACAGTTTTCTTTCCTAGTGGAAGGTTAGTGTATTCCCAAGTTTTGCTTTTCTGAGGAGCATTCACTTCTTCTTGCACTGCATTTGCCCAGTCCCTCGGTTTACCCCCAACCTTAAAATTGTTCTGATTTTTATCCTTCAAGACCCAATTTGAGAAACCCCTGAACTCCTTTACTAATGGCGACTGGATCCACCGAGAATGAAAATTACCTCTGCGCAGATGCCTTTGAGGTTCCAATCCCTTTTTGAAAACACGGTCTTTAACAAATCTACGATCTTGGAGATGCGATAATCGATGGCAGCAGTTGTCTGGATTAAAACTCCCTCTGTTTCGCTGCAGCACGTTCGTTTCTTGGCGCTACCAGCCTTACCTCCCAAATCCCATTGTATCGGTTGCCATCTCAGACCAGATTTTGTCTCCTCCAAACCCCACTCGTGCAGCGGCGCTCGACTCCCTACTCTATCTGCCATTTTGCCATCTATTTCAATCAGGTCTTTTTTTTATTCTACTCCTTCGTATATACACCTTGCCGAAATCCCTATTGGAATTAATAATAACAGTACTCTGAGTCTGTCATTCTTCCACCTGTATTCTTACAGTCTCTTTAAATGGGTTTTAGAGCTGTCTGTATCTTGAATCTTGATATTCAATTGAAATTTTATAAAGCTGAAAGATTAACATATTATGCGATCTTATAGCATTTCAACTACTTTCTTTAAAATTACAAACTGTTGATGTATTAGTTCCACACTAGCAATAACAACAAGGTGTAAGATCTAGTTTTACTCCCCTATCAGGTTAATCTGTCAACGTTTTAGGATGGATAGCCAAGTTTTAATATGGTATGAGAGCGGTTGGGTTATAATTTAATTATTTGTTGAACAAGTAATGATTTATGGTACGCTGTTTACGGGCAATTAGGCCTAGTTATTGTCCATGTATCCGCTCTCGACTACTGGATGGAACCCCAAATGTTAATAGACCCTAGCCCTCCAAAGACTTCCCTCTAAAACATTCCATCAAAACAGACCATTAATGTACCCCTTTTAAGCTTTTCAAATGATATTTGCCGCTTGCCAAAAATAAAACTATGTGTTTAATGCTAGTGATGTGTTTGTTTTATAGGGTAACTTTGATCTGGTCGGAAACAATTTCCCGGTCTTCTTTATTCGTGATGGGATGAAGTTCCCGGACATGGTTCATGCACTAAAACCAAACCCCAAGTCTCACATACAGGAGAACTGGAGGATCCTTGATTTCTTCTCCCACCACCCTGAGAGTCTGCATATGTTCACCTTCCTCTTTGATGATTTGGGTGTCCCGCAAGATTACAGGCACATGGAAGGTTCCGGGGTGAATACCTACACCCTGATCAACAGGGGAGGGAAAGCACACTATGTGAAGTTTCACTGGAAACCAACTTGTGGTGTGAAATGTCTTTTGGAGGAAGAATGTGTTAAGGTCGGGGGCGCTAATCACAGCCATGCGACCCAGGATCTCTATGGCTCGATTGCAGCCGAAAACTACCCAGAGTGGAAACTCTTTATCCAAACTATGGATCCAGATCACGAAGACAGGTTTGACTTTGACCCGCTTGACGTGACCAAGACATGGCCGGAGGACATATTGCCATTGCAGCCAGTGGGGCGTTTGGTGTTGAATAAGAACATTGACAACTTCTTTGCAGAAAACGAGCAACTTGCTTTCTGCCCTGCCATTGTGGTTCCTGGTATCTATTACTCTGATGCTCCAGACACGAATTTTCTCGTACTCTGATACCCAACGGTACCGCCTTGGCCCTAACTATCTCCAGCTTCCTGTAAATGCTCCCAAGTGTGCTCATCACAACAACCACCATGATGGTTTTATGAATTTCATGCATCGGGATGAGGAAGTATGTAGTATTCCTTGTTTATCCCTTTTTCTTCTTGGGACTTGTTTATGGATCTGCCTTATGTTTTTTTTTTTGTAAAACCTATTTGATCAGGTAAACTATTTCCCATCGCGGTATGATGCTTGTCGGCACGCTGAACAGTACCCTATTCCTCCATGTGTGCTGACCGGAAAGCGTGAGAAGGTCAGTTTTCATTGATGGTCTAGGATGGTCTATTTTCTGAAAAAAGTAAGATCATTCATGGAAGCCTGGAAGGGTATCTGCTGTGTTATCTTAAAGGAAAAGCATTTTGAATCGGTTAAAACTAAGTCCAGCTAAATAAATAGGTCAAAATTACTTGTTTTGGGGCAATTATTTTTCAAAGTTCTGCGTAATTCTACTTGTAAGCAGACTTAGCAGGGCCGATTAAAGTTACTGAACAGGGTCTACAGTTAGCTATAAACATAAAACTATAATATGACCATATCTTTATCATTTCTTCTATAGAGTCTAGACAAAGTCTCACACTATTTATGCAGTGCATAATTGGCAAGGAAAACAACTTCAAGCAACCAGGAGAGAGATACAGATCATGGACACCAGATAGGTATAGTAATCAGTTAATTATTTAATTTGAAACGTTGTTAGTTTAATTAATGTTTATGTTCTTGCGAAGACGTCATGAAGTAAACTCTAGTAATTCTGGCATAGTTAAAACCATTTATTATCATATTTAATATAAACCAGGAAAGAAAGATTTATCCGGCGATGGGTTGAGGCATTGTCTGACCCAAGAGTCACCCATGAAGTGCGCAGTATTTGGATTTCATACTGGACTCAGGTTTTCTTAAACTTTCTCACAGGCTTGCACATTAAATTTAGGTCACGACTTATAAATTGAATCCGAGTTTTGTTTTATGGTTGAATGTGTTGCAGGCGGACAAGTCTCTTGGTGAGAAGGTAGCTTCACATCTCAACGTAAGGCCAACCATGTGATAGTCCAAAAAACAAAAGTCTGTTTCTGTTGCTTGCTTACAATGATGATATGATATAAATACCATTTGGTGTTGTATTTTGTACGTAGCCAACAAATCCCATGTAACTTATTATGTCTCTGACATCAATTGCGCTGGATTGCTGGAAATTTCTGTCTTTAAATGTTGTCTCCTGATCCTGAAGGATCTTCTTATCTCTTACCTACGTTCTGGTGGTAATGTTTGGCAAGTGATTGAAAGCTCAAAAATTCAATTCTTCTTCCCAACACATTCTCGATTGAGCCTGCTTACTATTTTGGTTTATTTGGGACAAAAAGCCAAATGAAAAAGCTATTTTGGGGGTGTTTGGTTAGGAGCTTTTCAGCTGTTTTTGGCTGATTTGACTAATATTGGTCTTTTGACCGGATCAATCAGCCAACAAAAATGTTTGGTAAAATAGCTTTTTCATTTGGCTTTTTGTCCCAAACAGCCAAAGTAGAAAACGCCAATCATCCTAGCGTTTAGGTAATGACCTTTCCGTTTCCGTAGTAATATTCCGAGGATACCCCGCTTTTCTTTTGTTCAATCGTACTGGCAGAGTCGCAGGCTTCTCGTAAGGAAAACAACACCGCCACTCATCTTTGAAAACTAAGTTCCCAGTCCCAGAACATTCTCGTCAATCTATGTTTTAATAGTGAGTATGTATCGAAAGTCTTATGACTATTTTCTCTAATTTTTATATGTATATTCTTCTACTATACCTGTAAGTCTATATATTTGAACTTCCGTAGAGTAATTATATATAATAAATGGTAAGATACAAATAATACAATTATCAATTGCATAAATTAGTAGAAACCACCATCGATTATATTTTGCATGATTTCAATTCCGTAGGGTACTTATAACTGCATTTATTAATCAAAATATCTTTTCAATTTATTAATATATGAAAATTGTTTAAAAGAATTATTACTTGTGTTAATAAAATTTTCATTTTTTTATAAATCATAAAAATTATTTAAGGAGTTGCACGTTCGATAACTTCAACTAAATGTATGATACATATATAAAAGTGCTTAGTAAATAAAAAAATAATTGATGTCCTTAAAAGTAATTTAAGGAATTATCAGCTGAGTATAAACAGCTATTTTAACCAAACATCAATTTATAAACTGCTAATAATATCAGCCAATCAAAACAGCTCACAAAAACCGTTGTCATCAACCAGTTGACCCAATCAGCCAACCGCCGGTTGCCAAACACCCCCTTTACCAAACATTTTTGTTGGCTGATTGATCCGGTCAAAAGGCCAATATTAGGGTATGTTTGGCACAACTAGCTGAAAAGATACTTTTACAAACTTTTTAGTAACAGTTAGCTTTTAGTGTATTAGATATACTACACGCATTGTGCTTATTATAAAGTTAGCTGGTGTTCAGTTTGTTAGAAAGGCTTGTTGAGCTGTAAACCTCTATATAAACACTCTGTACTGATCATTACAATTAGTGTGAATCATTTACATTCATTATTACTCTCTCTCTACATTTTCTATCATGGTATCAGAGCTCTAGCTCGATCCAGCCATGGTGAACTCCTCAACGACCTCTTCTTCTGCAACTAGAAGCTCCACTCTTCCAGTCATTCTCAATCATCCTCTTCCAATCAAACTTGACTCCAACAACTTTCAGTTTTGGAAGCATCATGTAGAAACTGTTACGCGAGCACACAAACTTCTGAAGTTTGTTGAAAAACCTAAAATTCCAGAACAATTCATCACCAGTGAAGATGGCGTGACCAAAACTGTGAACGAAGAATATACAATTTGGGAGCAGCAAGATCAGATGCTGTTTTCCTGGATTCTCGCATCGCTGACTGAATCTCTTCATGCTCGCGTAATCCAATGTCGTCATTCACACCAACTTTGGAGCGAACTTCACATTTTCTTTCGATCACATATTATCGCACGAGCTCGCCAACTCAAGTCTGAACTCTATAATACCAGCAAAGGCGATCGCTCCATCACCGATTATCTCCTGCGAATTCAACACATTGTTGAAAATCTCACAGCGGTAGGAGAACCTATCTCCTCTAAGGATCACATCAATGTCATCCTTGAAGGACTTCCTGAAGAATACGAAGCACTTGTATCCTCAGTTTCCTCCAGAAGCATTCTCGATCCAGTTACTCTCTCTGAACTTGAAGGATTATTGTTAGCCAAGGAACTTCGAGTCAGAAAACAACGTGAATCTTCTCAGCAAAGCCTGCTCTCAGCTAATGTTGCTCGCCTGGAAATCTCCTCTCAAACCGATGACACTACAGCTCAAAATTCTACAGAAAACTCCTCTGCGTATGTGGCTCAATTCCCTAATTCCAATAACAATGTCTCCTTCAGAGGTAGAGGTCGTGGAGGTTCCTTTAGAGGACGTGGAGGTCGATCTGGAGGTCGCAGTTCAGTTGTTTGTCAAGTTTGTGGCAAATCAAATCACACTGCATTGGTCTGTTATCACAGATTTAATCCTACATATACTGCCTCTGTACCTAGTGCTTTACCTGGTGCTGTAACTGGTACCTCTCAATCATCATATCCTCAGCAATTCAATCCTTATACCCCACAACCTTCATATTTCCCACAGAACCAGAACTGGGGTCATCCTTCATCTCAAACACCAAATGCCTTCTACCAAATGCCTCAAACTCCTGCTAATTCTCTACCTCATTCTTACACACCTCAAACAACCTGGAACCAGCAATCTCAGCAATATGTACCTACTGCTGCTTGGGCCTCTACTAATTCATCTATACTTGGACCTCATCCACAGTCAGCCAATTGGTTTCCAGATTCAGGGGCCACACACCATGTAACTGCTGATCCTTTGAATCTGCAGCATAGTGAACCTGCCATCACAACTGATAAGCTTTTCATGGGTAACGGACAAGGTTTGGACATCAAGTCTATTGGTTTCTCTTCCTTTTCCTCTCCTTACAATCCATCTTATACTCTTTTTCTTAACAAAATTCTTCATGTTCCCTCTATCACCAAAAACTTACTTAGTGTTAGTCAGTTTGCTAAAGATAACAGAGTCTTCTTTGAATTTCACCCTCTGGGTGCTGATGGTCTTTACAAGTTTCAGTCTCTTCCTGCTTTTGGTCTTTGTCAATCTGCCTCTCCAAACAAGTCTTGTAATAACATTCAGTCTTGTAATAGTTCTATTTCTTGTAATCAGTGGCATTTGAGGCTGGGCCACCCTCATCTTGAGGCTCTAAAATCTGTATTGAAACATTGTAATGTTCCTACTATCAATAAAAGTGAATTGGATTTCTGTTCATCTTGTTGTCTTGGTAAAGTGCATAGACTACCATCCTCTCCCTCTACCACCATTTTTCAATCACCATTTGAACTGATATTCACTGACCTTTGGGGACCAGCTCCTGTTTTATCCTTTGATGGTTATTCTTATTATATTTCATTCATTGATGCCTTCACAAGGTACACATGGATTTATTTTCTGAAAAAGAAATCTGATGCTCTTATAGCATTCCAGAACTTTTATCAGTATATCCTCAACCAGTTTTCTGTCTCAATAAAAGCTGTCCAGTCTGATTGGGGAGGAGAATTCAGGTCTTTCACTAATTTCTTAATTGAAAAAGGTATTACCCACAGAATCATATGTCCTCACACTCACCATCAAAATGGTGTAGTTGAGAGAAAACATAGAACCATTGTTGAGAAGGGTCTGTCTCTCCTAGCCCATTCTTCATTGCCTCACAAGTTCTGGGATACTGCATTTGCAACCTCAGTTCACCTTGCAAACAGAACACCTTCCAAATCAATAGCCAATTCCAGTCCATATTTCAAACTCTATGGTTCTATTCCAGATTACTCCTTTCTCAGAGTATTTGGATGTTCCTGTTTTCCCTTTCTCAGACCCTATAATAAGCACAAAATGGACTTTCACTCTGAAGAATGTGTGTTTATAGGGTATTCCACTCAACACAAAGGTTACAAGTGTCTCTCACCTTCTGGAAGGGTCTACATCTCTAAAGATGTAGTCTTCAATGAGTCAAAATTTCCCTATCCCACTCTCTTCAACTCTACTAATAACCATTCTCACACTACCTCTCCTCCTCAGTCTGCACCACTCACTATTTCTCAACCTAATTCTCAGTCTAATTCAACCTCATCCTCCAATACTCTGTCTTCATCTCAAACTGAGTCTAGCCAGTCAATTCCTATACACACCCCATTACAGTCTCAATCTTCTCCATCAGAATCCAATTCACAAGCTAACTTACCATCACATTCTTCTTCCAGCTCTTCTGCACCAATTACATCCTCATCATCCTCTTCCCCTGTCATTCCACTGACTAACACTCACCCTATGAAAACTAGAGCCAAATTTGGAATTGTCAAACCTAGACTTCATCCTACTTTGCTGTTAGCCCATGTTGAGCCCACATCAGTTAAGCAGGCACTATCTTCTCCCCAGTGGTTTGCTGCTATGAAATCTGAATATGATGCTTTGCTTTCAAACAAAACTTGGTCTCTTGTTCCTTTACCTCCAGAAAAACAAGCTATAGGCTGTAAATGGGTGTTCAGGGTAAAGGAAAACTCAGATGGTTCTTTGAACAAGTTCAAGGCAAGGCTAGTTGCTAAAGGCTTTCATCAGAGGTTTGATTTTGACTTTGGAGAAACCTTTTCTCCAGTTGTCAAACCTATTACTATCAGGGTGCTCCTAACTCTTGCTGTCTCCCATCAATGGTCTATTCAACAGTTGGATGTCAACAATGCCTTCCTTAATGGAGAGCTTAATGAAGAGGTTTATATGATACAACCCCCAGGTTTTCAAACCGAAGACAAATCCTTAGTTTGCAGACTTCACAAGTCCTTATATGGCCTGAAACAGGCCCCCAGGTCCTGGTTTCACAAGCTAACTGCTGTTCTTTATAGTGCTGGGTTCAAGCAAAGCAAGTGTGATCCTTCTTTGCTTCTCTTTGCATCTTCTGGCATTCTGATCTATGTCTTGATCTATGTTGATGACATTCTTGTCATTGGAAATAATTCTCTAGCCATTCAAAAACTCATTGCCAAATTGAATTCTTCTTTCTCTCTTAAGCACCTGGGAGATATTGATTTCTTCTTGGGAATTCAAGTTCAGAAACTTGCAGATGGGAGTCTACATCTTTCTCAAGCCAAATACATTAGAGATTTGTTGCACCAAGCTGGCATGACA